AGGATGCTTGATTATTATCGAGAAGTAGCTTGCATTATTATTCTCTGATTTTAATGCAGTACAGTACATGATGGAAATTTAAGGGTCTTCAAGTGCGCTAGCTTGGAAACTATTCTCAATGAGCCCAATTCTCATTCTACTGCGAAGGACTTGGATTTCAGGTCTGCAATGTTATAATTTATAATTTCTTAGAGCTTGTTTGGTAACATTCTTGTTTTTTGTTTCTTTTTCTTCATTTTTAATAAAGAAAAATGAATTGCATGGCCAACATCAATGAATTCAAGTATGAAAAAATACTCTTTTTATTTATGTTTTGGAACAAATTGGAAAATGAGAACAAGATAGAAGAAACTTGTTTTGGTTGTTTCCAAAATTTCTATACAATTTGGGAAAGAAACGAGAAACATAATTAATTGCATAATGCTTATATTTCTTAAGAAAATTGGAAACGAGAAATAAGAAACGGGCACATTACCAAAGGGGCCATTAATTTCTTTTGGAAACTATTCTCAAAAGAAAGTGTGAGTTATTTGAAGACTCGGTGATTTTAATGCCGTATTATCAGCACAAATAATAACTGCACCCAATGTTTCAACTAATGGAAAGCTACTTGTCTAGTACTAAAAAGTGGATTTTTCTCTCTTGAAAGTGGATTTTTCATTGTGATACTTGGACACTGTAATCGTGCTTTCTATTATGATGCCCATGTTTATGAACCGCCAGTATTAAATGGGAGGTGAAATAAAGCTTCCTTCTAGGTGTTTGTACCTTGTAGGTCGTTATATGTCGTGTTACCCCATGATTTACTTGGGCCTTCTATAGGTTGCAATGTTACTTTACCTTACCTAATTGTTGAGAGAACAATTCAAATATCTACCCGTCTACCAATGATAGCTATATATCACTTGTTGGGCGCAACACAAATAGGTGCGCACTTGAGGTGCGGCAAGCGCGTGTGTGCTCAACACGCTAGCTTTTAAATAGTAAAATGGTGGATCAATTTAACCGAGTTGTTTAAACAGATCTGATGGGTTGTGAATAGGGGAAAGACGAAATCTTGACTCGTACAATTGAATTGAAGATGATCTACACAAGGAAAGGGTGAGCTAATGTCGGCGTAGTGCCGACATAAGCTCCCATGCTTAAGTTAGTATAAGAACCGATAAAAAGAAAGACAAAGACTTGTACTAAAGTGTGGTGGGTTGTGTTGTCATACCTCAAATGGATTGGGGCCACTTGTATTTATTGGGGTTCTAGGCTTCCTTCTCCAAGTAGTTATAGCATGAGGAGCGCTCCTGGTAGTGTTGGGTTGGAGGTGTGCACACCATGCTAGGTGTGGCACGCTAGGAATGGACCTGCGGGCCGTGGTGATAGTTTGCATTCGACCTGGAGTACGACACCCGAGTGGTGAGGCCAACAACCTGAAGTGACCCTAGATCATGCGCATGTTACCCCTTGTGTATGAGTGATTGTACCATCAGGCTACGGTGCTGGGTGGGTAGATGGGTCACAGTGGGGCACACGTGCCACACTGACAGTTGGGGTCGACGCGGTGGGCCTAAATTGTGTGATCCAAGTGGTGGTGTGTGAGCTATGTTAGGCATGCGTGTGGTGGGGCCATTGGGGCCGCAATGAAAGTATGCATGCCATGTTTTGGGCGGGCCAAAGAAGCCACAGTGGCGTTGGGCTACGCAGGGGTGTCCGTATAAGGGATATTGGTCGTGCACTGACCATGCACGCGCTGACCGCACATGGAACGTGTTGATTGCGCACGCGATTGCCACACATGGAATGTGTTGACCGCGTACGCACTTGCCACACATGAATGTGTTGACCGCACACGCGCTTGGTGTCATGGTCATGCTTGTCCAGGGCCTGTTGCCCGTGGCCGCATGCCCATAACAACCTCTTTCCACATGCTTTCATGCCATGTATTTAGTTTTGCTTGTTATTTAGTTTTGCTTGTACTTTTGGTGGCGAGTGACTCCTCGCCACTTCGCATGTTCACGCCTGCCAAAGGCAAAATGCTTTATAATCTACCTTAGGGGGTACTCCTAGTCTCCTCCCTACATTGCGTTGTATTCTTGTCTTGCCGCTAATCTATTCTCTTGCATTCAAGCTTACAACATCTTCCAAAATGCTTACAAACGTTTTCCAAAACCTTTTTCTCTAACCCCGTTTTGCAAAACCGTTTTCCCGAGAACGAGGGTGGAGGTTGCGACATATAGCTTTTGTGCCACCGGCTATTCGTTTCCGCATTGGCTGACTTGTTAGAGGGTGGAAGCAAGTGCCGCACAATCGCTTCCTGAGTCCCGTTAAAGTACGATTGTGACAGTTGGTATCAGAGCCTAGTTGGCTCCTCGAGTGGAAAACAGTAACCATGTCCACGACAAAGCAGTTGGGCAAGTCCCACATCGACAGACTCGTCGAGATCGAAGAACGGCTGTTGTTCTTGAGGGAAATCCCTGACAACCTTAGATATGTGGAATCTCGGCTGGATGAGATCTCCACCAAAGCTGACGGAATTGACGTCGTGAATGCCCGCATAGACGGGCTTGCTATACGGGAGTTAATGCTTCGGGTTGAGACCCTTGAAGACAAGGTTAAGCGCACTGATAACCTTGAGCGTGGCGAAAGCTCATCGAGTTCAATCGCCCACATGGAGGAACGTGTCGAAGAAATAGACATCTCCAAAAAGACTATTGTGCAGATGGTCAGTGAACTGACCGACGACTTCAAAGCCACCGTCGACGAAATGAGGGCGGAGATTGCCGAATTAGGCACCAAAGTAAATCTCACCATGAGAGCGGTGGGAAACCAGGCCCCAGCTGGGGGACCGATT